CACACGCTCAACCTTTGAGTATCTCTTGCTGCAATGCAAAGTTCGATGAAATTTGTCAGTCTCGAGTGGGCAATGAAGGAAAATAGATTGGGAATATCTCCGACTTTAAAGGCAGTAATGCTCAACTTTTTTATGATTTTCTAAACGTGGGTCTCTGGACTGGAGTTTCACGCGCTAGAGAGCATTGCATGTCAGAAAATCTGTGGCCGTACCCTCCCCCGTCAAGGTGAAAGGGAAGCGAGTGAACGTCTACGTTACCTTGCCTCTGTTTCACCTTGCGGGGGAAGGGTACAGCTACACTTAAGCTAGTTGTATGTAGGCCCATATAAATTGCACTTGCATAATTTTTGGCATAATTTAGAAAAACGCGCATAAAGTTTGGTCTTTTTACAAAAGTAGCATTGCTAGCATTATCAGCATATTTTCATTTTTTTTATTTTTTTGAAGAGAACATTACCAAAGTCATGACTTGTTTGGTCTCTAAGACTGACTGTTTGCGAGTTCGTTCCACAATAACTATACGAAGTCGTTCGCCCTCTAGAGGACTGGGCACAACAGTCCTAGTTCCCGCTTTTACTGAAATAATAAAATGACGTCAAAAGAAAAGTAGTGCTAACATCGTACATTGGAATTAAGTGTAGCAGTTAATTGTGTTTGATTAGAGCAAGCATGTGACTCAAAATAAAGAAGAATCATGCTTTATTAAAAACAAGTATAAAGTATGGAATTATTTCTGTTCCTTTTTTCGGAAAGCATCCTTCGTAAGAAGTACCATAATTTTGAAAAACGAGGGTAAATTAGGAAAAAATAGAGCAATGCTAGTAGCATAATATGCTACTTTTACTAGTACAATCTTTCAGGGCCTAAATGCGTGATATCTCGAACCACGGCTGCGAAGAAGACTTTAAACAAACTTTTTTTTTAATGTGTCCTCTGTTATTTCATTTACAACAGGCTCGGTCAGGACGGATCTATGACGCTGTTTTAACTGTCGCCAGGGCTATCGAAGAAATTCTTTCTGAGAACAAATCACTCTCGCAGCCTCCTGTTGGCAATGGACTGTGCAGATCTGATAAACCGTGGATAGACGGAAAGATGCTTCTGGACAAAATGAAAAGGGTTAGATTTCTTCTTCAAATCGAATATTAAATAATTTTTTGAAAGAGGAAAAACTTGATTTTGAGCACGTGATCTTTGCAGAGCTTTCGTTAGCCAAAATGGAAATTAACAGTTAGATTAGAATCAAGCAACCTTCTTCCACTCCGTCCTTCCGAAAAAAAAAAGAAAGATTTTACAATAAATTGAGGTTTTTAAATTTTTTTTATTAGGTAACCACTTGGTGTTTCGGTGCACATTCTCAGTGTTCTGTGCATAGTTGTTCTCGCACTCAATTACGCCACGTAACGACTTTTTATCTAAGGGGAGGGGGGATGACGCAGATGACTTGTTCTCTTAGGGAAGGGGGGATGACGCAATGACGAGTGTGCTCGCCCAAAACGCTGCTGCCCAGGTTCGATTCCCGGAGCTGGCGTCACATGCGGGTTGAATTTGCGGTTAGTTCTTGACTAGTCTTCCTCTTTCTGCAGTAAAAGAAAGGTCGGTGAACATGTCTGAATTTTGCAAAATTGATCCGTAATATTTCTCTCCTTCCTCATGGAAGGTTTTCCACAACTTTCCAAAGGAGTTTTGATCCCCTTTGTAGGAGACGTTTGTTTCTAGCCTGAGCCAAACTCTATAATCGCAAGGTTTGCTCTCTCAACTCGATTTTCGCCTTTGCAATGCGCGTGCATGTCGGTTTATCGTGATCTAACCAATACCGGAGAAGCGATACGGTAGCTCGTTACATTATTAGTCTTTAGAATAATTTTTTTCCTTCTCCTTTAAGGTAAAAGCTCCGGGAGTTATGAACAATATTAGCTTTACTAGTAGGACTGGATCACCAGGGGAAACCGTGTACGATGTGGTTAATTTTCAGACTGATGACAAATGGGTTGAGGTAGGGTTTATTTTTTTTTTTTGGAAAGAGGGCTATTTCATTATTGTTAATACGTTATCTCTAAACTTAAGGTAACTTTACGAGCTAAAAAAGTTGATTTTTCTTGTAGCTGTATTTCATTCAAGATCAAGATATATTGAGAGTTTTGGAGTTGAAACATAAGGAAGATCGGGGAACAAAATTACCCTGTTTTGGACTAAGATCCGCTCAATTATTCCACAGAATTCGTTTTAAAAACGTTAACCAGGACTTTCGAGAAATAGACCTCAGGTTTCTCAAGACTTTTAAAACGCACTACGTGCGTTGTACGGATGATTCAAGTTGTCATGGACTTTTCTTGATACGCTATCTTGATCTCTTGATTCCAAATTGGAAGTAATGTAAAACTAACTTTTACTTTCAACTTCGCCTTTTGAATGTCGAATTTGATTTCGTTTTTCTGAATATGGCAGGTAGGAGACTTTCAATGGAGCCGCACGCAGCAGCAGTTAAAAATGAACAGAAAAAGACCGATTGTATGGTTAGATGGAAACCTCGATGTACCAAAGCTGGCAAGTCTTGAGCTAAAATACAGCAGAATCAAAGTGCTAATCGCCCTGGTATGTTTAAAAGCATTCAAAGCAGCCAAGTTTCCTTTTTGATAGCATTCTATGGCCTTTTTAGTTCGAGTTTGGTTTACAACTCTATTTGCCGTTAATTAGAACTTGAAGCCACTCACGCACATTTTCAGTAATTTAATTTCAGTCAGTTCAGACTCCTCAATATTTCCAAACGTCTTTCTTCTCCCTCGGCGGTTCGAGTTCCTAAAGATTTCTTTGTTTAGTTAGAGGATTTTAGGAGGATCACATGATTTCAGAGGATGTAAGTGGGGTATATAGAAGATTGGCCTCCAATGAGAGGAGATCATCAGAATACTACAGAATGTTGGGGGGGGGGGTGGGGGGTTAGAGTTTATTGTGGCACAATCAAAATGCTACAATCAATTCGTGAAAATGTAAACAGATAACTAGATAAAAAAAAATGAATGCATGAAAATAAAAATAAAAAATTGGGACGACAAGGAAGACTATACAAAGGACTACTCAGCAATATTAGAAGATCTCATATCTCCCGGAAAACGCGACAGTTAGCATCTTCTGGATAGAAGAGGATCCTATCTGATTGTCCCAAATCCAAGTAATCGTACAAATCGTCACGATATATATTGTTTTGAAAGAGATGATAACGATTACATGGAAACTGGGCTTAACGGAGCTGTAAAACAAACGTTGATGCTATTCAATTTAAATGTTCTTTTCAGAGTCCACCGTTCGTAATGAAAAAAGAAAATTCCACGAACAGTAATTCAGATGTAGAATACGAGGGATTCTGTATTGACTTATTAGACGAGCTGAAGAAGAAATTACAATTTGAATATCATCTGGAACTGAGAGATAACTTTGGTGACCAGCAGAGTGATGGTACTTGGAGTGGAATTATTGGGGAGCTGACAAGAAAGGTGAAATGTGTAAGATTGTGTAATCGTTTATAGCGGCGATGCATTTACCGACCTCGGCAAGCTTTCAGGAAACTACTTAAATACAACGCTTTTCTAAATAACTAAAACATTCCATTTTGCCGTGCGTCAGTTTAATACAAGATCATAAATGATGTTGCGGATCACCGTCATAGTGCCACTCTACATCCGGGAGTGTAAATAGGAACTAGTGCACTGTCAAGGAGTCAGTCCTGAAAGAATGCTAGGGGAGGAGGGGTGGGAGAAATAGCGTGTTATGAACTGCATCCCATCTAGGAGTGAGAGCAAAACATATTCTCTACGTTACACAAACTGGGATAAGTTCCAGCTGGATGGACTTCTTGGCTAGAGAGTGCAGACTGTGCACGTACCTTCAGTATAAGGCTTATATGTTGCTTTAATGGTGAAAATTCTGCGACGTCTCTTTACCAACTGACCATTTACTCTCCACAGAAAGCTCAACTGGCCGTTTCCACTATAATCATCAGCCCTGAACGCGAAAAAGCAGTGGACTTTACACAACCTTACTACAGTCTGGGATTCAAGATAGTTATGAAGAAAACAGACATGGAAAACAAGGTGAATACCTGGGGATTTTTAGATCCTTTTGAGAAGACTTTGTGGATTGCCATCATCAGCTCATCAGTGATCATAGGAACTGTGGTTTGGATCTATGACCGACTGAGCCCGTATGGCTACTATGGCAAGGTGGTACAATCAGCGGAAGTCAGCAGCGAGGAAGCGCTTGCGAAGAATACCCTCTCGTTATTTCATTCATTCTGGGCAGCGGTTGCCTCTTATCTAGAGCAGACTCCAGATAACCTGCACCCGATTTCTCAATCTGGTAGAGCGACTACATTAGCTTGGTAAGATAGGGCACGTGTTAACGAAACGAGGGTGTAACCCAAGACAAATTATGTATAAAAGTAACTATTTTATGATACTGGTATTTTATGTTGGACTCTTTGATCATGACATTTAGCTCTATTACACGGGAAAGAATTAAATCTTGACCAATCCTTCCTTGATTTAGATTTAACTTTTGTCACTTTGCTGTGTGACAACATTGTGCTCCAACAATAAGCCAATCCTCACAGAATATTTCCCTCGGAACACAAGTCAATGAGCCTCCAGAACGCTTATTGATGGTACATATATTTATTCAATGAATAAGATAATACAATTACTCTTATTGGTCAAAAACCTATCGTTTATTGCATTGGTAAACCCATAGAAAACTCAAGTTCATTTTTGATAAATATTATGTCGTACTTTTTATCAGTTTACCGCCTCCGGCTCGTAATTTACAAACTTTTCTCTTGTTCTCCCGATATCCCGCGTGGTTTATTACGCCGGTAAACCGGTAGAAAGTGCGGTCCATTGCATAAATAATAATCTGCGTTCCCGGTGCTTTTATCAAGTGGTCGTTGAGATAACAAAAATTAATGATCGTCTTCTCAAACCTCTATTGCTTCAGGTGGTTTGCTATTTCCATATTTGGTGCCACTTATACCGCTAACCTGGCTGCGTTCCTGACCATCAACAAATATGAAAATCCAATCACGAACATTGAAGATCTGGCCAATCAGAACAAAGTAAAATTTGGAACCGCGCGTGGTCAGCTGGCTACAATGCTCAAGTATGAACAGCTAGTAATATACCTATTGAGAACGGTGTAGTTCATGTTTAACACTTACAGATGGTGCTGGGCATTTCATTCTTTACAAAATTGAAAGCTATTTTGTTGAACTAATTAAGCCCATTTCCCATATATTCAGTCCCCCCTCCCCCCTCCCCCCTCCCCCCTCCCCCCCCTCCCGGTCCATCAGCCCGTGGAATTTTTGTCGATTTGTCTGACACAAGAACCACTGAGTACGATTATAGTGCGTTCACTGCAAGCGCTCGTAAAATTACACATGTAAACATGAGAGTTTTTTATGGAGTCATTGTATATTCAGAAGGTTCTGCTGCTACAAAAGGAGCGCCCTTTCTTATTTCATGTATTTAGTTTCTTTTTAACTTGATGGATAACAAACAGTCAAATGCTAGTTCAAAATAAAAGAAGAATGATACGAAGTTTGAATTGCCATGCCTTTCCAATTCCTCTAAAAGATTCCAATCATGCTTAAACCCAGCTCGTTGCTCGCAAAGCATCATAAAATGAGAAGCTAATCGCCTAGCAACGATTAGCAAGAACTAAAAAAGTTTTGCGTAGGGGAGACTCTCTCTTTTTCTCAGATGCCAGTGAACTAAATAAACCAACATTGCCTTATTTCCTTTTCCTAGAGAGGCTAAGCTCCCAGTCTACGAGAAACTATGGGATTTCATCGAGCGTCATGGAACACTGGAAAAGAATCATACAGCTGGGATTGAAAAAGTGCGAAACACGGAAAATTATGCCTTCATTTGGGACTCGGCAGTACTTGAATATGACGTGCAACAAGAACCGTGTAACACACTGACTCTTATCGAAAGGTAAATATGGAAATTTCTTAGGTTGAACATGGTTGTGTCATGGCGCTTTCCAATCAGTATGCAAACACAGACGTCTAATATAGGGCATGCGCAAGTGGATCAATTCTGAGTATTCCCGTTCCCCCCTTCCCCCTCCTTCTATTTAATCTAAGAATTGTCTCTATTAAATCTATTTTGATCCATCTTTCACAGACCATTTGGTAGTATCAACTATGGCTTCGCTCTCCCTCGCAGTTCACTTTACACTCATAACTTTAGTGTAGCCATGTTGGAGTTACAGCAAGATGGCTTCTTACAGCGCATGAAAGAGAAATGGTTTAAAAGCCGCAGCGTGTGCGGTGCAGAGACACAGGCAGCCCAGGAAGCTGCTGAGGAGGGCGGTGACCAGCTTCAGTTTAGTGACTTGGCTGGGGTGTTCATCACCCTTGTAGTGGGCGTGGCTGCTGGGTTGATTGTCCTGTCCATGGAACTGATTTATGCGTCTTACAAAGACACCCAGTCTAAAGATGACGAGGTGGGTACTGATTGGTTTCAGTTCTCGAATATAATATCACGGTTATAAAAAATCTGCTATATCGTTTACTTTGCGCTCTTAACAGTTCACATTACGTTATAAACTAATAATAAGCCTTTTTCTTCGTTGTTCGCTGCAAGATTATTTTTACGTCTCCCATCAGTTACGTCACACCTTAATGGTGCACCCCCTCCAGCCTTTTTTCGACTCCCTTTGCGTCATTCGTTATTTGAGTTCGATAACCTACATGCAGCGAAGGTTTGTTTGCAATATCGGTGCATGAGATCTGTCTTTCCTCTTCTGATAATTATATCAGGCTCAGATATCATCAAACCCTTTAGGAGTGGAGAGGGGCTTGGCATTCCAGAAGTTCTGTAAAGAACACTTGAGTCATTGTTAATGCAGGAACATAAGTTTAGCTTTTTCTTTATACTCATTAGGCACCAAACACATTATGCGCAGCTCTTTGGCGAAGGTTGCGTCGAACTTATAAGGGATTCCACGATCTCCACAAACGTGACGAGGGAGAAAAGCAGAAGGAAGAGGACCTGGCTATGTCTGAGGGCCTCCTACTTCCCAGCGCTCTAGAAACGCAAAATATTTGATTATATTCAAACTTGAGCCAGGATGTTTTGACCGAGAGGCTTAGCATGTGTGTGTGGAACTTTACAAGGCTCATGAGGAATTTATGTAACTGTTAGACTTTAGATGAAGGCATGTACTTGTTTAAGATAGCTTAGAGTCGGTTTTCCCTTAGCTTAATGCTCCATTTTTACTTGAATATAGCTAGGCTTCTCATTATATGTTTATCTGCTATGCATAAGACTCATCTGGGATAGGAAAGCTGAAGGAGACTCTCATGTAAAAATGGAGCAGAGATGAAATACAGGCTATCACGGTTACCCAATAATTATTACTAACAGTTTAAGAGAATTAATGATAATTTCCTCAATCATCCTTGAAGTGCGATATTTCAGCTTAAAGTAGTCACAGATAGGTCTTTCTTAGTTATTACTAAGGATTTTGACTACCATTCTTGCCATTTTCATGCGGAAGTCTTTTTTGTCAAGGGACCAAATTTACTCAAGAATGAGTCCCTTGTTAAAACTAATTTGTTGCAGATCATTTGTAACATTACAAGTTACCGTGTCCGGTAGGATTGTTATATATTGGAGACTAGACTGTGAATGCTATAGATAGGACACTTAACTGCAAGAAAATTTTAAAAATATGTCAGCTAAGGAATTTGGTCAAATGTAAACTAAATATTTTCAGCGGCGACTCCAGGAAGTTTTGGTTGAAGGAGGGGCAAACATTGTTTCAGAAACTGGATTTTTGTTTTTAAACTAGAGTATGATTCAAGATAAGTGAAATTTCAGTGCTTCAAGTTTAGATGTAATATTTATTCCTGTCGTTGTTATATTTCTGGTTTCAGGCAAGTAATGAAAATACCTACAGGTCTGATTTGTAGGAGGGTCCAGGCCCCTCAGACTCTTTCCTTGGATCTGCTAAACATTAAATATTTAAAAGGTGTAGAATTAATCTAATCCATTTGGTTTGTAGATATGATGTAAGGTGAATTATGGAAAAGGTACCATCAATAAAGATGGCGAATGAAATTATTCATTTGTCAGGCCTTCCGATCATCCATAGTTGTCACTGTTTTGTCACAAGGATTTCTAGGAATAGTACGAGTCACATTCTTTTTTTAGTTTTACTTTTGAAAATTTTGATTACATTATTTCTTCTTTTTATTGCAAGGCAGAACGAGTGCGAAGAGAAAAAAAACTTAGATCCTCTGTGTAGTAAAACTTCCTTTGAAGGCAAAATCAGAATTTTTAGTGAACACTTTCGTAAAATTCAGAAAAGTTGTGGAAATGATAAAATCAAAAGACAAGGTCGCGTAATCGCATGAACGTTGATTCATACATCCTCTTATATAAATAAACATCACCGACATTTTTCCAACTCGATGTTTAATCGAAGCAGTTCTCTCTCTCATTTTTCTCATTTTTTCTCTGATGTCCTCAATTTTCTCTTGTTTCATTCTTTGTCTTAATCACATTCTCCTCAGTCTATCTCGCAGATTCTTTATGGTTTGTTCATCTTGCTGCTGTTTTCGTTTAGCTGCATCTATCTGAGCTTGAAGGTCTCTTTGTTGTCGTAAATATCTTTCCTTCTCAGCTGTCGATCTTTCCCTCGCTTCGGATATGGCAGCTTCGGCCTGCTCTTTCTGTGTTCGCATTTGTTCTTCAACCATGCGTTTGATGTTTCTTTGATCTTCGATGTGTTTCTCCTCTAGGCGAGTTATCTGAGATACAAAGACTTTGGGTTTGTATTTTGTTATCAATTCAAAACACGACTTACGCTGAAGATACTTAGTATAGGTTACCTTTTAACCAGACAGCACCTTGTAAAACGAATGTCGTGAAATAAAAGTGGAAAAGATTAAATTAAGTTTTTGTTTAAGTTTTCACCTCCGAAACACAGAGTGGAAACGAGAACCTTCCTATTTATTACCTTAACTTTATTATGCATTGCAGACTATAAAATAGTCGACGAAGCAAGACTCTACTGCAAATGCCAAATGTACCTTTCAAAATCTCCTCTCAGATAAATGAAGGATAGTTAATTCTGCTAAGATATGGGCGACTGACTCGTACTCGAAATTAAAAAAAATTTTGATTCCTCTCAACTTTGTTACAAACACATCATAAAAAACTTTAATTGAAAAAGTTGATAGAGTTTTATCTAAAGCTCTTACCTTTCCTTCGATTTCTTTTCTGTCCTCTACCAAATGCAAGTTCTCATCCTAAAAAAAAAAAAAAGATGAAAGTGAAAAAATAAATAAAAGAAAAAAGTTAAGTAACAATGAAATACATGAAAATGTATTTTACTGCTACAGGAAAGTTATCAGCTATATTGAATTAAGATAAAGGAAGTATCCAGAAACCCAAACTCGTTTATATTCAAATCTTGTACTTCGAGCGAAAAAACATTTTTTTGTTGATCATCAGGGTAAAATAAAATAATAAAATAGCAGCAGTATTGTTTGTCGAAACTTTACCACTCCAGGTAGCCATATCGAAAGAAAAGCAGCATCATAACCATTATTATAATTAATATCTACACTCAGCGAGCTTCGTGATATCAGCAATCGTACTTGTTTGCTATCATGTGCTAATGAACATTTTTCCTTAGCTTGCGGTTCGGTGAACATTAATCCAATAGTCACCTCCATTTCAAATATTAACAACCACTAATCTAAACAAACTTAGCGAATGACGCATATAAATAACCAATGTTCAAAGTGTATCATTCTTCCTCCTGCCTGAAAGGTATCTAGCTTGGTAATCTGGGCTCTCAAATATGAAAAAAACTGACCCTTAGCCTTTCTGTCTCCTCAGCCTCAGCTTCTCTTGCTGCTCTCTCGGAGGAGATATCTTCATAATACTTCCTCCTTGTCCTAAGTCGAGCAAGATGTTTCTTCATCTCTTCAAAATGTTGCTGTCAGTGTAATGAAACACAGATCAATGTCAGTATCTGAGAAACTGCGCACCAACTCCTCCACCAAAACAACATCAACCCTTACTTGTTATCAATTGGCTGTTTTTGGGTTAGGGAAGGGGTAGGTGCAGTTGCTCAGATACAGACACAGATTATGCAACGCCTCCCGCGTTACCTTTTCTCATTCCTAAAACGTTTCATCAACGTCCGTTAAACTAGAAAAAAAATTTATGTTTCGCGACCGAGAATTATGATTAAAACTGCAAACTGAATATTACTTTAAATGATGGTAAAAAGTAAATGGTTGTAGACCGTGGTATGCCATTTATTTTCTTGTTGTTTTGGGCAATATGTGTATGCAGTAAGCAAACCGAACCTTTCCATAGACCGCGGTAATGATCAGGTGAGGGAGTTAGAGGGGAGAGTATGAAACAGGAACTTCATTGTACCCTGAACAAAAAAAAACTATCCATACCAATTCATAGATGTAAGCTAGGTTTGAACATAAGCTCTTGTCTCCTTTGGCCTGTTGCTTGAAGTCGCTGTCAAGTTTCTGATAAACAGACCTCAAACGCTCTTCCAAAATCAAGAATTCGTGATCATTGGGATCATGGACATCTTTGAGGACTGGGTCCAACCACACCACGCGTAGCGTTTTCATCAGGTCACTGCACTGTTCCTCGGTCAGATTGTTGTTCTCTCTTAACAAAGCACTCTCAGCTTCGTCTGTATAGTTCTAGTTATATAGAAATAATACAATTCAGCAGTGGCGCATTTACAGAGTGTTTCTTAACCCTTTAACTCCCATGAGTGACCATAAGGGATTATTAGTTGATCCAATACCAAATGCTTCAAACTAACATCACAAGATTAATATGACAGACAGTAAGGAGAATTGTTAATGAGATCTTGGGAGTTAAAGGGTTAATCCACTGGCAGGAGATCGGAGTGATTTTTTGCGTGGAAGGAAGAGCACGACCCTCAAAGAAAGGAAGGAAACCAATAACAAACTCTTCCTACATATGCCAGCAGAATCAGGAATCGCACACCGGGCTACAGGGGTGAGAGCGGCAATTGCACCATGAGTTCACCATCCTTAATTCCCTCAAAAGGGTAAAAATGAAGAACAAACAATTTGAATGATCTTAAGATTAATGTTGGAATATAGAGTGAGCAATTAACAAGCGTGAAAAAATAATTGACCATACAGAACCACAGAAATAGCAAGTAGGATGACCCAAGTATTCTTGATTACACTTTCCTCGACTTTGTCTTGTAAGAGAAATCTTATCATGTTTGTTTTACTAAAAGAATAAGAATGATCAAAGCCAATTTCAATCACAATTTGATGAGGGATAGGAGCTGATACGACGTGATGTTTAGTAGCCAATAGAATCGCGCGAAAATTATAATGAATAGGTTATGACAGCTGGCAGGAATCTGTAGTTTCTCTTTTAGCTGTCAATGGAGAATATAGGCGAAAGCTTCTCGTCAGGCAGCACTGCTATAGCCGTCTGTCCATCGATGTTGTTATTATTGTTGTTTTTATTTAAGTTATGAAAATGTGGTATAAGCAAACGTACAGCTATAAACAAGCTAAATATAGTTACTCTTTGTTGGTTAAAGATCAGCTTAATGAATCTAAATATCTACATCGAACTCATTATTTACCGCTAACTCCTCGATGTATATCCACCGGGCCATTACAGCCGTGTCCTCTGCTTCAGTCTCAAAAAAAGTTAGAGCTTCCAACAAATAATCTTGATGAGCATTGCGAATCTTTCTGTCGTCACAGGGAAGACACACCTTTTCTTTGAATTCTCGTATCCCTCCACTGAATCAAGAAATTAAAAAATTTGAAATACTGCCGAAAGGAATCGACTATGATCTCAGATCTTATTCCCTGAGCTGTAATCAACAGACTCAGCAGAAATAAATTCCTTCAGTGTTTCTGCATATTTCAAGTCAGCAAGTATCTATAGTTTTCGGTTACAGAGCTGCAATTCTTTTGCACTGATCAAGCGATTCTCCGAGTGTAGAAGAAAACCATCTTTTCTGAGATCTGATCACTTGGGATAGCAAATAACAACAACAAAAAAAAAAACGCCAACGGAAATGAGTTTCTGCGCAAACCCAAATGAAATAGGCTCAAGGTCAACCTTACAACACTTGTGGTGCTGACTAAAAGATCGCCGCTTCGGAAACGGAGTCGTTATGGAAGCAGAGTTGCGCGCGTATAGAAATTCCGGTTTATTTAGGCAAGTCTTTTAGTAGTACTTACTCGTACAGAGCTTTAGCATCGTTTAGAGTCTGAGTACATTTTGTTTTGGTAAACACGTTCCATGCACTCTCAACAACTGGAACAGCCCCTGGTGAATTTACAGCTTGAACATATTCTTCGACCAGAGTTGCCAGAGCTGTGAATAAGACACAAGCGGGTAAATGGTTATAAAACAACTCATCTGGCTCAAAATTCAGGCAGTCATCTTGCTCTAATCCTTGAAAATTGACCCTCTATCACAAAAGGGCGTTTGAATTTTGACATCTCCACGACTGCGTTTCATTTAATCCAAACACGTATCTTATTAATGTATAATGCATACATACTTTAATCGTGTATTTTTGAAGGTTTTAGTGGCTACTTCATGGAGGAAGAAGGGAAGCTGTTAAAACTAACAAGGGGACAAATTAAAGAAAATCAATGTTGAATGAAAATAACAAATTAAAAAAAGAGAGTTCCTGTCATTTGGTTTACGTGTATGACAAGAATCCCTTCTTCATATTTCCTTGATTCCTTGCACCCCACGACAAATTAATTTTTTTTCTTGAAAAAAGTTATTACTAGAGCGTTAGACTGTCTCTAAAAACTTTAAAAAATTGCCAACCTTCTCCAGTGACAAATCCTTGTCCAACAAAACTCCGTTTGGGAGTTAGTTTTGAGTGCAACATCTTTTTGAACTCTTCCACTCCTTTCTTGAATGATGAACTAATCTCCCCCTGCCTCCCCTTCTCATTTAAGTTTTGTATGAGTGTAGCATCTGATGACGGAGGGGAGAGGGGAAAGGCGTCAAAGTCAGGAAAGAACTTCAGAATGTTGTCCACGACCTTTTGAGACTTTTCATTAGGCCGACCTCGCATCTTGAAGACCTAAACGACAGAAAACATGAAGAACATGAAAGTTCAGGAGCACGCTAACGTCAAATCGAGAACCTTCTTTGAAAACTTGTTGTTGGGATCCTTTCTCTTCCTTTCTTGAAAGAGTACTGTTGTCCAGCAAAACGCACAGTTTTGAAAGTTTTGTGAGAAAAGCTATAACTCCCGTCTGAGCAAGTGAAAGCCTAAAAAATTGATTGTAAGTACCGGTTGAGATGAAAAGCGCTCCACAAGAAGATGAACAGTCCTGTGAACAGTCAAGCGCCTGAACGCAAGTCTAAAATTTAAAGGGGTTTTGAAATTATTTGCAACATCGCCTGCAGCATGCAGCACTCAAAATTCCCTCCCCAGAACAAATTTGGCCATAACTGTTTCTACCAGTTCGAACTAATACAGTTCCGTTCCATTCACCAACGGCAAGTTCTGAACTTTTGTGGTACGGTTACCTTTTCAAGGAAATACGCTTTTAAGTTTTCCACGCCCTTGGGAAGACTTAACACAACATCTCTGAGCAGCCACACAAAAGAAGGAAACACGTGCTGTGAATCTTCTTCGTCTAAAGGTTGTCCTGAGACTACTTGAATCCGCTGAGAAATCTTGATTATGTGACTAGCACTCGTTGAGGCATCTAAACATTTAATTTCCTTTCATTTTATAACTTGCACCATTTTGTGGAAGATGTTCATCACGAATAACCAATGCATATGATCATGAAAGACTACAAGAGAAAGCTAAATGTAACTTTTAGAGATTGCACATGCTTTAATTGAACGTAGGCATCGAGCGATAGATATAATTGAAAGATAGATAGACACATACAAGAGATAACAAGAGCATACTCAGCTGCAGATCAATACGTAGTAGAGTCGAAAAGGATACTCAAGTCCCTCAAGATCAGTTCTTGTGGGAACGCCAACAGAATTGTAAATTAATACAGAGCTCAAGAGAACGCTGAGTGTAAATATGGCGTGATCATTAATACCCTCTGCACTCACTGCATCAATTCCTTCGGAATCCAACAGCACAACGGTGAACTCTCTGCCTTGAGCATCCCTGTATTTCTCTGGTACTACCCACAGCCAAATTCCCATGGTCTCCGGATCAAACGAATGCCCCAGTGGGAACACGTCCCCTTGATCGAACGCTCTGCTGAGGATGTACGATTTTCCCCTCCTGCATGGCCCGGCTATCGACACGACGCACACTGGTCCGCCAATGGACCGAAGTTTCCGCAGTGCCGGGTTTACAGGCTGAAGTCCCGTGCGGGGCTGACTCGAGTCGCGCTGGAACGCTCCCGATGTTTCATCCCAGCTGCAGTTGTTTGGTATGCACAATGGAATGGCCGCCATGGTATTCCCGGAGCCCTGTCTCTGATTAGAATCCCTACACAATTTCACGTGTAAACCACGGATTAGGACTTTTTCCTTGTTTACGTAATCTCATCTAAACTTTAGGGGGTCGAGAGCTTTCGAGACAGCTACACAAACCCTCGAATCCGTCCCACGTTTGCATAATTTTTGAGGAAGGCTCTCTATTGCTCTACTGACTGACGCTCACATCTAAAACGTTACAGCCGTTTTTAAACACTCACATCTGATCACATCTATCGACCAATTAGGCCGCGTCCACAAACTTAAATATTTCATATCAAAACAGAAATCAGGCTGAATCGATAGCAAAGTAAACAACAGCTTAACTAGCTAACCCCCAAGAATTAATAATCTCCTGCTAACCCCTAAGCCCCACCCCACCACCCCTCTACCAAAAGTCACCACAATTATGAAATGGAGAAATGTATTTTGGCAGCCGTTACCGCCGAAAATACATGCAAATGATAAACAATAAGGACAAAAATACTGACGGACAACTCACCTTAACTGAAATAAAATAGTGAAAAGAACCAAATGCTTAAACATTTGAAAGTTTGTATGGTGACACTGGTTGAAATGGTTCAATAACAAGCCCGACGAATGATCAATTCCTGCTTGAAACTGTTCTGCCAATTCATGTGTGCAAAATGCGGCCCCCCCAAAAATAACCAATATATGATTTGATAATGATTTGTCCTTCAAGTACATCGTAGCTAACGTGAATGAACCAATTGCAGATTCCCTTTTGGTTGAATGTATTTCATGCAGGAGCCCCTTACTTAGTAATGGCTCCTGATTTCATGCAGGATTCGCTTGAAAATTTTTGTGTATTTCAACGAATTTTTCTACGCCGACTTTTTATAAGCATTCATGGTCACAGAGAGTTGGAATTTGCATCTCGTGCGTGTATAATTACATAGATTGGGTGACAAAAAGGAAGTTATTTGTCACACGCGCCAACATTCAAAAGAGAAAGTGTTTTTGTTCAGTTCCTAACTTCCGCTTCACTTCCGGCTTTAATGGAAATTCGTGAACCTTGCATCATTTAAAACAATGAAAGTTTAGCAAACAACAGCAGTAGAACTTCTGATTTAAATGTCATGGATTTAAACCGACTCTTCAAGGCTAAAGCAACGAATTAAAATAACAACTTTCCATGGTCAAGATGCTTCGCTCTCGCTCATCGAAAAGCTAAAGCTGGGTGTTATTCTGTCAGTTCGACATGGCAATCGAATTGCAAGCGACTGATAATCGATTTTGATAATGTTTGGACGCTTTCTTACTAGTTTAGTACTTCAAGTGACTTTGTGAAGCATGGACTTGGATGCCAGAACTGAAAATATATGATAGGAAACAGAAACACTTCGTAACCATTACTCAATTCATAAATTATCGCACCCAGACAGAGGATATTTTCGTTCAAACAGCGCCGTATGTCGGATATGACCTCAAAACGACCTTCATCACAATATATTATCCACTAACCTTCTTTTAAAGCTGGATTTTTTCCGTATTAAACTCTGGAAACTGAAACTTTCGTATCTCCGCGTTTTTAAAAGCCTTCTGATAAACTCCTTCTTCCAACGTAGTCACCGTCCATAATGTAACCGCGAGAAGATTGGGGAGGATAGTATTTCTATTGCGTAACTCTTCTGCATGATGATGTTAATTTGCTGTTACTTTGACCCAAAATCCTTGAGTCTCTCTTTCTTTATTTTCACGTGGTATTCTTTTGGTATCAGAGTTTCGCAAGTACCTTCAAATTTGAATTCAACAGGCCGCACTTTGAAGGCGAGGAGATGAACTTCAGCATTCCGACGTAAACATGCAGAAGCCCGTTGTCAAGCAATGTAATCAAGAATTCAAGAATTCATCTTAAGTAGTTAAAAAAAAAAAAAAAAAAAAAAAAAAGAGAGAGAGAGAGAGAGAGAGAGAGTGGGGGGGGGGGGGGGGGAGATATGATTTTAAATCTTTGGACCAGAGGCTGATATTCCGCTCCGGAGAGTTTTTCGCTTCGGAAGAGGTATTTGTTTCAACAAAATTGTTTTCGGTTAATTGAAGAACCCTTTCGGGAAGCCTCTATGGAGGTATCAGACTTTGAAAATTCACCAAGCAAGGAGAATATCTGTAGATTAAATAAACTTAGCAAACATCATTTTAAAACTTTGATCTCCAAAGAAAATACCTGCACGAGGTTATACATACAAGTTACTTACACTTCACCGGGGTAGACTATTATCCTGCACTGATCATGATGTGAAGTGACATGTTTACAATTATATCATTATTGACAGTCAGGGTCAGTAGCGTTTTGAATGGATTCTGCACAGCCTGTACCATATCAGATGTCAGTCCGGATATCATAGAAACGACAATAAATATTATTTCTATGAAATACATACCCCAATATCAACGTTTCTAGGTAACAAATTCTCTATAAAAAAATTAGCAAGGCTGAAAATATTATTTTTCGCTTCAAAAGGGCATATGCCTGACTGCATCACCATTTTGGCGATGTTTCCTTTAACAAAACAAAAATGTGGTTTATTGTGACAGGTCGTTTCTCCCTTTGATATTTTTCGCCTTATCATTCGACATTCTCATTGAAATATCCATAATTTATGCATAAAAGAGAAGAAAGCGAAGGGATAAAAACAATTGAGAAGATATGTATCATTAAGATTTGTCGCGGAAGAGCACATTTGGAAAAGCTACTGTCTGGTGACCCATAGTTATTTGTATTCCTGAACAAGGGTTTAACATAAAACAGTTTTTTTCACGAGTTGGCTCACCGCGAAGCCCTTTGATCATCAGTGTTATTCAGTCAGAGGAATAGACTGAGTGGAGGAAACAAATAAAGTATGTGTGTTTCAGCTGTGACAAAATAGGTTTATAGGGATGCATCAAGAAAGGTCAGTGTTAGGCTGTACACCTTTGTTGCATCGTATTTCATTTTTCGGTCGCGCAATGCGTCCTGGCTGTCAAGTCACAAGTGTGGTACTTAAAAAAAACCTAAAACTCTACAAACTCAAGTTCTTTCCGTGTACCCTGATGAAAAATTTCCAGAATATCGAAAGAAAATTTATTTTTAGCAGGAAACGTACAGACAGCGAAGAGCGGAATGAAATACCTGAGGAATGTTACGAAGTGTCACTGTCTGATTCCAAAGAGTAACTTAGCGATAAGGGCTCATTTTGAGACCTGATTAATTATTAATACAATTCCCAGAAACATTTGCATGTCTTTTACCAAGTGTGTTGGAGTTGTTGAAAAATCAGCCTTCATGTTTATGCTAGCGATAGCTACATGTACACAGTCTTGATCAGACACGTTTATAGCGGAGGTTTCAAGGTAAGATTAGTTTGTGGTAACTATGGCGTAAATTTTGTTTACAGACGCGATCGTTTTTCTTAGCCTACGCCAGATCAAAAGATTTGTGGTAACACGCATGATCAGTCTCTTACTGTTCTGTTGTAAAGCACGCACGAAGAGGATAGAGCACGAAAGAAGTTTAAGAAGAAACACAATCGTGTTTCTGCCCACTTCTTGAGTCGAATTTGGCCGAAGCGGAAAAATCTTCAGACGCATCGCCAACAAAATTTGTCTCGGGTAAAAATTATTCAAAATCGTCTTAGTAAACAAAACCGTGAGAAACCGTTGTCAATCACGTTTCGTATAAGCCACAACAAGCGTGTAATTCAACTGTAATTAGTTTACTAGAAAGGCAAAAATTGTCTTTTGCTAAAAAACTCAGGGATCGATTGTAGAATCATGATTTAAAAAAATTGGAAGTGGAATCCTTTGGCAACTATGCTGGCCGATCTTATGAACAGATCAGACGGACGCTGACGGAATTTGTTGACTCTGAAAATTTTAATGCGGATGCAAGAGGCGTAACAAAAATTTGTCGTGGCAAAACTTTTCTTTTGAGTTTGCCGAGAAAATTCTTGTTTTCGCCAAATTGTAAGAGTTTTCATGTGACGAAAACAAACTGTTCAAGGCGTGTGTTTTAAGAATAAACGACAGCCGAATTCACGAGAACATGAAGGCTGCTAGGATGACAGCGCCGTAAAACTAGCCTGCTGTGACTGATGTTACCTTCCACTCAACACATCGGAAAGGTTATAAAAGCTCTTTGTCCACTCGAAGAGCGGTCGATGTAATTTCTGAGGCTTTCTTCAGTACGATGACCGGAGATCGCGATGATGAGCTAGCTGCAATGGACCAGTCGGCATGATCGCAGTCGCTCTGACACCTTCATGATTAGTATGAATTTCAACAGTTATGCCAGTTTGGCTATATTTTTTATATCATTCTTGTTTTGTTCTGCATTTTTTTTTTGAACATGAAACTATATATGCTATACGGGTGTTAGCTGAGTTTGATTTTTATTACCGTACGTAAGCTTGCAATCTAACTGAGCGTGAAAACCTTCAATACTCGGTCTCCACTGCGTTTTCTCTCTGGATTTTCGTCTCTGCTCACGTTATAATAACGTAAATTACGGCGCTTGGCATGTTTACAAACTCTTGTTGGGTTCTTTTGTTGCTACTTGCTAGCTTGCTTGTTTCGAAATTTTTCTTTCAACTAAGGAAAAAAAACTAGAGAGAAGTCCCGGAAAAGGTCGAACATAGTACAATTTGGCATACGGCGTGACAGCTTTAGCTCAGCTCTATGCTTTGTACTCTGATAGAGCACATTCTTTCAACCAATGACAGCGCGCATTATATCCAAACTTTGTTATAATAAAATTTAACATGTACGTATTACAAGCGCACAATTCTTTTCGTAAATGTTTGTTTTCATCCAAACACTCGAGTTCCACTCGATTCGATCGATAGCTGGGAGATGTTTGGACTTAGAGATAAACTGGGACTTATTGTCATACTCTTCTGCTCGTTCCCTTGATTTTGAAATTGTTTCTTTGGATTTTCGTCAGTCAACTCTACTGTGAATAACTTAAGCCGCAGGTTTCGATTGTTTTAGCTAAGATATTAAAGTCTGGATCACGTTTATTTGTCGATTGATTATTCGTTAGGTCTGGTGATAACTTATCTGATTTACTCAGTTACGTGCAAGGTTCGTAATCCAAGGACACTATGATTCCAATCCCAAGTGTTCTTTATCTTTTTGCATCGTACGCACTATCGTTATTTTCGTTCGCACGGCCTCTAGTCACCATTTAGAAAAAAATTATACTTAATGACCAACCACTATGTGCGGAGACTCAAATCGAATCGCCCCTCTGGGGAACTTAAAATGTCTTAAACTAGGACTGAGGTGGTTTTATCTTTTCAAAGCTGATCCACAATTTTTTTTACAACCAAGCTATGTTAAAGCAGAGGGGAAGTCATTAAGTTCCTCTATTCCCTTACCAAAACTACATGTCTGTTACATATGTGTGACACTTATGTGTCTGTTATATATTTATGTGTATATATGATAAATATTGCATTTATGTGACATACATGTAAAGATTCTGACGTGATTGCACATACATGTGACATTTATGGGACGTGTGACATACAGTATATGTTGGATATGTAATTATGTGGGGGATTTATGTGACTTATATGAAGTTTTGGAAGGGTTCACAGCCAGCTGGTTGCAATTTCACATTCTACTCACATGATGTGTATTTTTAGTTTTCTATGTAATGCAAGGTGCATATGCATATGATTTATGGCCATTATCTTCAAAATTTTCTTTCCAGAAGTAAATAAATGCTACTTATATACCGAAATAAATTAATTTCTGCAGTTGTCTTAAACCTTGATTCAATGGGCAGTATAATATTCTGGAGGCTAATTATTGTGTCCCGGCAAAGAGATTGTAAATTCAATTGTCATTCGTTAGTATTGCATAAACATCCTCACTGTGTATAACTTCACATGTGACTATGGTGCATGCTTCGTAAAAATGGTGCCTTTTTTCTCAATCGGAGCTCACCAGAAAAGTAAATTGTCATTTTCTTGCAAATGAGCTTAAAGACCTCCTGTGTACCATTATTTCTCTTTCTTGGAATTGGGAAATTATTTTCTTTCTGTCAAACAATTATAAACCAATTCTTAGTGCAGGGAAAGGAACATTTCAGAAATACCAATTTAACAAATATATGATATATATATATATATCTAGAAGGTATTGCTGCTCATAAAAGAGCATGGTACCTCCCTTTTTTATTTCAAATTGTACTTTTCCTTAAGATCAGCAACCAACATGTACAGCTCGACAATAATCTTAGTGTATGTTCTATGGAATGGCTTCAAGTGTTCAAAGTATCTTATCAATTGCTCTGTATTGTTTCTTTTACAGAAGCTGATTGGCATCGTTACAAGTTAGAATGGAAGCAAGCACTTGCAGGAACACTCATGGTGATCCACCAAAGATCAGTGTTAATCTTCCAAAGTTAAGTGAGCTTACCCAGTCGAAAAAACGTTGGAGGGAGGTTCAACTCCCAATTGACATTCTGTTGTTAACAGTGAAAGACGTTGAGTTTTTAAGTTGCTACTATTACATTAATGATCTAATCAAAAGCTATCTCAAAGGGCTTGGTTTAGTATACTTTGGCAGCATTGGTGAAGATAAAGATGTCAAACTGAAAGTTGCTTTGATGAAATGCTCAGAGGGTTCTAACGTTCCTGGTGGTGCTTTGATCGTTGTAAAAAATGCTGTCACTCAGCTGAGGCCAAAAGCTGTCTTTTCTGTAGGCCACTGTAGTGGTATGAATCAGGAATCGACAAAGCTGGGGGATGTGGTTGTATCAAAAAAGCTCACAACTTATTCCTATCAGAAGGTTGCTAAGGATGGCAAGAAATTTCGTGGGTTCATAACTCCTGTAAGCAGAGACATCGCTGAACTCATCGAATGTGCAGGTCATGGTTGGAATCCACCCCTAGAAAATCCTAAAGAAAGGAAGGTTGAAGTCCACTGTGGTGAGGTTTTGAGTGGTTCAGAGCTCGTACAAGCTGAGTGGCGACGAGATGAACTAGTGAAGTCATTTCCTGAAGCAATTGCAATTGAGACAGAAGGAGAGGGTAAGGTCTCCTTTTCCTTTTAAGTAACTGTTACTTTAAAATCTGCTCAAAGAGATATTCGGGTATATTTGAATCTAGGGAGAGAGAATTGATACCTGTATGATATCAGTTGTGGTGGGTAAGCTTTTCTGCCAGTGTCGAGAGATGCACTGGCTGTGTGTGAACATACTGGACTTCAGATCAAGAGGTCTGGGTTTAAGCCCTGGGCTAATGGGATTGTGTTGTAGTCTTGGCTGGGAGGCTTTACTCTCACAGTGTGTCTCTACACCCAGGAGTATAGATGGCTACTGATGAACTGTCCACTATTTCATATACATGTGGAGGGAGTAAGGGTACAGTCTTAGTGTCTGAATGGTATGAGCCTTGGGAGAAGCTCGTGCTACAGGGACTAGCTTGGTATTTAGTATGTATAACTTTCCAAAATATATCTCTAGTTCCTTACAAATTTTTGATAACAATGGTAACATGATAACAATGGTTAAAATCAGTAGATGTTGGAGAAAATTTGTTGTTTTATTCTTAAAAGCTTGTTTTTTTTGTCTCAGGAGTTTTCAGCGCAGCACGTGATCTGAAAATGGAATGGGTCGTTATCAGGGGTATTTCAGGGTATGCAGATGGAACTGAAGCAAACGAAAACTGGCAAACATTTGCAAGTGTAACAGCAGCTTCTTTTGTTGTCAGCATTCTAAACCAAGGCAATGATTTTGAAGATTGGCCACATTACCAAGGTGAACAGATCAACTTTTATCTTTCATAGGCCTACAGTATATTTGCTTGCAGTCACTAGCTAGTCATGTATGCTTTTTAGTTTTGTTTTCAATAAATGTACTGGAACCGAATTGCCAAAACTGAATCAAAAACATGGTCAATGACCTATGATCATGCGCTGATCGATGACAGCAGCTCTTGGATCAGAAATGTTACCTGGTTGTTGACGTCAATTCAACATACAGGAGCTCTATAAAAATGGGTGGATCCAGCAAAATGGCATGAATAGCTGCGATACGCACCACTCGCTATCCCCTCATCTTGATGTTTTGCTGTGATGTCTTTATGTTTTTAGTCAAGGAAGAAGTTTTCAGTGACGAAGATTTAGAGTAGCCTTACCTAAGTTGCTTATTGTATGGAAAATATTTTTTTCAAGCTTTTCGCTCGATTGCAAAGTAGAGATATAAATAGTGGGACATCAAATCCGTTTACCTGGCGATGACAATTTTTCTGCCTGGCAGAAGAAAAGGAACAAGAAATCTTCTGTTCGCATATGTGGACGTGCATATTTCGTGTAAAATGATGCACAATAGGGACGCATAATGCAATGGCACGAATTGTCCTTGAAACAAACTCCTCAGGAGACGTTTCATTAGGAAAGGAAAAAGCTCCATTGCTACAATGAATCTGTTGGCTCAAAAGATCTGGTCTAATGATTTGTTTATGTTTGTTATCATGCAGATGGTCGAAATAAAGAATCGTCTCCGCGTGACGCTTTAACTCCAAAGAAAGGAAAAACTCGTTTAACAGGTAAAATAAGGACATATCTATAAGCGTGCCCGTTAACCCCCACCTCCCAACCCCATCTTCCCGCCCCCTGCCTTTGTAAAATAAAAATGAGGGGATCCAGGAAAAGGGAAAAAAAATAGTTGCCATACGTACTACTCGCTATCTCCTCATCTTAATGCTTTTCTGTGATGTCTTTATGCTTTTAGTCAAGCAAGGAGTTCCCAGTGACGAAGATGTAGAGTGGCTTTCGCACCAACTCGAAAATTGGCAGGAACTCGGGCGTCGTCTCGAAATTGAGGAAGCAACTTTAACGGCGTTTGACGATGACTATAAGAAAAAGCGTCAAAAAATCTACAAAATGTTACGACATTGGAAAGAGAAGGATGGCTCAGCTGCAACATACAAGGTCTTACATGATGGATTGTGTCATGAATTTGTTAAGCGCACAGATTTAGCTGAGAAACTTTGCTGTCAACAGCATGAATGACTGTTTACTTTATTGACTCATAGATAGCTTTTATTTCTATTTTTATTGATTATTCCACTGTCAAATGAACAAGTATCCCCAGTATGGCTACACTATTACAATGTGAAGTACTAAATCAGTTATCTTCCTTTTCTTCATGGGTTCGTTTTTCTGTCTCTTACACACATGCATCTTTCTATTCTTCTAATGAAAAACGTCAAGTGGTCGAGGATATTACTAGTTATCAGCCACCCATAACTTTTCGTGTAACTCTATTGACTACTTAACGTCACGTGGTACAAAATCACCGGATAGTTTTGACGTAATAATCACCATTTACATGACATTTGTCCCCCGATTATTTCCGTCGAAAAGAAAGCAAGACAGCGGAAAAAAGCCAGCATTCGAGTTTCACTTTTTTATCTTTCTTATTGAACCTGTGAGAAGAATTAAGTTATTCTGAGTAGTTCACTGGTAGTGATATTAAAAAACTGATCTTAAATGCTGGTCCGGAAAGTAAAAAAAAAAATTAACAAAATTTTTGTTGTCAACGCGCGATATGAAAATTAATGGGAGGGTTATGAATTAAATAAATTCACTTCTGGCATGTTGGTATTTCGGGGGATAATTTCTTGGCTGAAATATTGTCTTGAAAATTTTATCATTTGTCCTCGAAGCTTATCGGCCAAAAAATTCAATTTTCGGACAATAGCTCAGTCGCGGACATGATCAGCTGACGCACTAGCCGTCTAAAGACGTTTATGTACTAAACATTCGCTGAGTTGCTCTGTCAATACCATTGCAGTGTTGCCGAAGGCATACGTCATGTTACGCATTTGCATCACAGGTGTTATCTATACGTAATGCACATGCATTCCTCCTTCAATTGTTGGCTTAGACGCAGTACTGAATTAGAAATTTGAGGCGCTTTTTTCAGAGAGGTTTGGTGAAACCAAAATTCAGCGTGCTGAGAATCTCACGCCGAGAACACGAATATATGCCGTGTTTTGTAGTTGATACTGAGATTCAACAACAGTTCTTCTCAAAGAATTGTAAATTCACGAGGAAAAGACTCCGTAAATAGCTAGGCAACGAAAAAATGTGGTTCCCCTACACTCGATTAGGCTTGGACAAAAGGCAAAGTTCTTGAAACAGTCGGCTTGCCTGATAATGATATAAATTTGATATTGGATGTTCATGTTTGATTAATTGCCTACGATAATTTACGATGTAGAATATTTGTCAACGAAACGTTTCGTTTCGGCCTATGGAATGGTTCTATGGCAAGAAAATAAATGTTTGCTAAAAACAAACGGTAGAGGTTTATAATTTCATCAGGGCTTCCTCACTGCTTTTTGCTGGAAAAAAACAAAATGTCGATTTGCCATTATTTCTTTTGTGTGTGTGTCTTGTTCTTTAGAAAAGTCTTTGAGCATCCTTGGTTCTGGATTGAGTAGTTTGGTTGGAGCCCAATCGTTGGTAATTATACTGATTTTCTGGAACAGTTTTCTTGGGTAAAATTTCTTTCTACCAAGCTTTGAGCAGTAAAATCTTCATAAAGCGAACTGCTGGATTGATAGTTATTGTCTATTCATAACAAAAAACTTGTATAGAGATTTTGCACTTCGAGTTTTATTTTTTGGCACAAAATTTTGACCGACAGCTAAATGACAAAAGTTTTCTCAGAGCTTTGCTAAGCTTCGCAATATCTTTGATGGTCTCAAGTACTTTTTTTCAATCGAATGTTGCAGAACTGACGCATTTATGAAGCTATACAGGAAACCAATTCTCTGTTATGAGGTCACGGTTCTATAATGATATTGCCAAGGTGATAAAAAAGTGAAAATCTAGGGAAAATAATTAGTCTCGATAAGTCCACAGTATTTTTTATTGAAAACTGAAATACTCGCAGAGATGAAATTTACACGTTGACACATGGCTGTTAGCGTTGTATGCGGGTGTCATCACTCTTTAACATCAGGAGTTCCCAAACTTAAGGCCTTCGCTTCCCATTCTTCTATAATAGCATGGAAATTTACCAGAAGAACTTTCAATGAAACTTAATTGTATAATATGGAACTTGACAGAAAAATCAGAGTAAATGAAAGAAAGCGAATGCAGGGCCATTGTAAAATTTTGAGATTTATTTTGCCTAAAGACTTTTTCAATCGACTTATGCCGTATCTACTGTGTTCTGCAGCCTAGACTTTAAATATGACAAACTGATATTACTTAGAAATAAGCAATGTTATTTCAGAAACTGCATGCAGGTTAAGGTCCACAGTCGGCAACATGAAATGAGGGAGGGGAGGCGTCCCTAAGGAACTGAATTTTTTCAATTTTGTTTTCGTCAATCGTTAGTTATCAGGAATACATACTTTTCAGAAAATAACAGGAGGAAAAATAAGTAAGAGAATACAATCCTTGGAAATACTGAATAAAACTGATAAATAAGCTGAAAGAGAATTTTTAGAGAGAGTATATTGGTTAGACTAAACCGTATCATAATATTTGATAAATTCGGTTGAGAGGTTGCCAGAAACCACAAGGCTCTTACAGAAAGTCACTCGCTTTACATTTTAACCTCTTAAATGAAGAGTGGGACTTTATACCATCAGTGTTTCGCACATGAACTCTTACTTAAGTGTGTATCAATAGAACGTTAGCAGAGGTATAATTTTGGTTAATTCATGAATCAACATATCAATCAAGCAGGGAAGGAAACAATCTGTTGATAAACCACCAAGCTACCGATCATTTAATCGATCGATCGATCCGGTGCGACAATCTAGAGATACAGTATGTAACGTAACTTATGGAAAAATGCTTTAAGCGCCTAATCTTTACTACTAATTATCAAGTACAACGACCCGATTGGTGAATCTGATAACTTTGAATTACAAAAAAGAAAAGGCTTAACAGATGCTTTTAACTCTAAGGAAACTTCACGGCTGATAAACATTTAATAAACAGTTAATAAAAGTCATTGCAGGCGCAGTGGTAACTTATCTGGGGTCGTGGGCTCCACGCCTGTGTTAAAAACAAAAGAAGAAGAAGAAGATATTAATGCTGTGGGCGATCATCAAATCTTTTTGAAAATGCGATCCTGGAGGGAAACTCCTACTCTTTTCATAGTATAGCTCTGGTGATTCGTCTTCATTAATGTCAGCTGAATGGTCAGCCTTATGAATTTACCCAAACATTTCCACAATCGAATACGGTGAAACCTGTATCGGTGTTCATTTTCTTAAGGTTAATTCATTTCTGAACTTTAAATAGAACGAGGTGATTAGTCTGGAACCTATTTATTGAGGTAAACGTACCTTAATAAGCGATATGTAAATGCAAGTTACTTTAAAAGAAAAACTGCGAGAAAATTCAGGACTTGCGTTAGGGTCCACTTTAGACAAGGTATCATTTGTGACTAGCCTTTGGAGGAAAACGCCTCATAAAAGAATGCGAACATCATTTCAAGCCGAAGCTCTCAAAGTTTATTATAAAGGGCTACCTTGAATTGAAAAAGAAATTCCTAGCCAATATTAAGGATGAAATTCTAGATTTTTGCTTTACCTCCTTTAACCTCAACAGCTGCCAGATGCCCCTGACACATTCAAACGTTTGATTACGACCTCGCACGTATAGGAGTCCAGTGCCACTGCTATTTCCTTATCTGTTTCTTCGGGACTTAAGGGTGAAAGCCTTTAAGCACTGGAAAACAGTGAGACATGAAAAACTTTGAAGGAAGCAGTTTTATTCTTATTTTACCTGCACATACTGATGCACTTAAGTCCGTTTGTGTTGCTTTACAGTTAAACTTTTGCCCCACCATTAAGTTAACAGCTCGATCCTCTGGGCGGTTACCTCGTCCTTAGTGTAAAACTGGTAAATCTGCAACAAACGCAAGAATCTTTTTATTCAATAACTCTTTGTTTCGGATACTATTTACGGTGTGTTTTTTTGTTGAGACACACTCCTCTTTACGATGTCATAAAGGACAAAATCTGACTGTTGTTCAGACTTTTGTTTCTGCCAATCATTTCCACACTTCAGTTCTCCGTGATTAAAACAACGCAGTTACAAATCTGAGTTGAAAAGGCTACCTTAGAGATCACCAGAGAACATAACTTTTGCGATTTTGGGCACGACAGTCACTTATTCTTATTACGGCTCTTTCCAAGCAAGGGTGTGAGTGGGAACCAGCGAAACCTGTTTGGGAATAAACCAACATCGAGGGAAGGTAACTCCCAAAACAATAAAAAATTACTGACGCCTTTTGATAGGGTATGATGAATGAAATACAGATAAGCCAAACACTCCTATAATCACATGTGTAAATGATAGGTTTCCAAAAAAAATTCTCACCTTTGGAGCAAACACTGACAGCATCGTCAAAGAAGTATTCATGATCAGGCACATGGATAAAATGGCAAAGAGGCGTCGTAGTACGCAGATCCTTCCAATATCAGCGACACAACGGCACCGATGATGAACGACACGAACACGTTATAAACCGACATTCCGATGTAATTTGAGTCATTCAGGGCAGGTATAGTGACATTGCGTGTCTCCCAAACCACAAAATCCCAAATAACTGCAACGACCCTTGATATGTAAAAGCTTGTAAACACGACCGCAAAAAAAAAGGCACGCTTTGTATCTGCAAGTGCATTGGTACAATGCTTGGATGATAACAAGGTGAGGTCTCTTTATCAGAAACTTGACAGCGACTTTAGGCAAAAGGCCAAAGGAGACAAGAGCTTACGTTCAAACTTGGCTAACATCTATCAATTGGTATGGATAGTTTTTTTTTTGGTTCAGCGTACGATGAACTTTCTGTTTTATACTGTTTGCTTTAACTCCTTCACCTGACCATTACCGCAGTTTAAGGAAAGGTTCGGTTTCCATACTGCATAGATTTACTGCTCAAAGGAACAAGAAAAGAAACCACATGCCATGGCCTACGAACATTTATTCTTTACCATTATTTAAAGCAATTTTAACCATAATTCTCGGTCGCGAAACAAAAACCTTTTTTTTTTCTAGTTTAGTGGACGTTGAGAAATGTTTTAGGAATGAAAAAGGGTAACACTAGAAGCGTTGCAGAATCGATGTCAGTATCTGAGCAATTGCGCCTGCCCCTCAACAAACCCAAAAACAGTCAACTGTCAACTGATAACAAGTAAGGCCAGTTAATGTTGTTTTAGCGGAGGAGTAGGTGCGTAGTTGCTCAGATACTGACATTGATCTGCGTTTCATTACACTGACAGCGACATTTTAAAGAGATGAAAGAACATCCTGCTCAACTTAGGACAAGGAGGAAGTATTATGAAGGTATCTCCTCCGAGAGAGCAGCGAGAGAAGCTGAGGCTGAAGAAACAGAAAGGTTAATTGTCAATTTTTTTCTTAATTGAGAGCCCAGATTACCAAGCTAGATACCTTTCAGACAGGAGGAAGAGTAATACACTTTGAAGAAAGTGCATCATTGAGGTTTGTCGCAGTAAAGCACATTTGGAACAGCTATTGTCTGGTGGCCCATAGTTTTTTGTATTCCTGAACTAGGGTTTAACATAAAACAGTTTAATTTCCTTTTAAATTCACTAGTTGGCTCACCGGGTGCTTTGATCATCAGTGTTATTCAGTCAGAGGAATAGACTGAGGAGAGGAAACAAAAAAAGTATGTGTGTTTCAGCCATGACAAAATAGGTTTATAGGGATGCATCAAAAAAGGTCAGTGTTGGGCTGTATACCTTTGTTGCATCGTATTTTTTTCGGTCGCGCAATGCATCCTGGCTGTCAAGTCACAAGTGTGGTATATTAAAAAAATCCTAAAACTCTCCAAACTCGAGTTCTTTCTGTGTGCCCTGATGACACATCTCAAGAATATCGAAAGAAACTTTACTTTTACAAGGAAACGTACAGACAACGAAGAGCGGAATGAAATAGGAGTGTCACTGTCTGACTCCAACAAGGAACTTGGCGACATGCCTTATTCGACTGAAACCTGATTGATTATTGACACAATTCCCAAAAACTTTGCACATCTTTTGCCAAGTACGTTGAAAAATATAATCAGTCTGCAGAGCAGGCGTAATTTTGGCGAGCGAGTGCTCAGCAACTTCTTAACGAAAACTATGGCCGCCATCTTTGATTTTTAATGACAGCGAAAGGCTGGGAAGAGAAAGAAATTTGTACCAAGGGGGCGGTCGACGATCAAAAATAAGAAGAGAGATAGGGAAGTGAAGAGTTCGCCTATCCTCCGCCCTCTACCCCCACCGTCCACTTTAACTTCAAATGAAACATGGCCGGTCTGATAAATGATTTCGAGTTTATGACGTTATCTGCTTTGCAGGCTTCTGTATGATCAATTGTGGAATTTTCAAGGTGAGAATAGTTTGTTGTTGCTATAGGATAAATTGTGTTCACAAACGCGATTGTTCTTTCTTCTTAGACTACGCCAGATCAACAAAAGATTTGTAGTGATATCGAAAGTAAATTATATATTAATTATATTGCTAAATTTACTTTCGATATCACTACAAGGCTAAGTATTGTCTATTGCTAAGTATTAATTTATATAATCTTAGCAAATAGAGAAGCCTTGACTATGCTTTTTTTCTGTTGTAAAGTACGAAGGAAGCGGCTGGAGCACGAAAGAAATGTAGGCAGAAACACGATCGTGTTTCTCTCCACTTCTTGAGTCGAATTTGGCCGAAGCGGACAAATCTTCAGACGCATCGCCAACAAAATTTGTCCCGGGTAAAGGTTAGGAAAAATCGTCTTAATAAACAAAACTGTTATGTGTCATGTTATCTCTCTGTCCCCCTCCACTAAGATGTGTAGATAAGTAGATGTGTAAGCAGAAACACGATCGTGTTTCTCCTTACTTCTTTGGTCGAATTAGGCTGAAGCTGACATAAATCTTCAAATGCAAGCCAATAAAATTTGTCCTGGGTAAAAAAATCTACCTAGTAAACAAAACCATGATAAAGTTCTCAATCATTTGTTGTATAAGCTACAACAAGCGTGTAATTGAACCGTTACCAGTGTATTAAATCCTGGAAATTGAAAGTGGAATCCTTTGGCAACTATGTTGGCTGGTCTTATGAACAGATCAGGTGCTGACAGAGTTTGTGGGCTTTGAAGTTTTTAAATGTGAATGCAACAGACAAAACAAAAATTTGTCCTTTAATTTTGTCAAGGCAATTCTAGTTTTGTCTGCTAGTGTGAAAGGCCCTAAGACTGAGGCTGTCTGAAATGTCAAACCACCAAAATTCACAATAATCTGCAATTGTTTACAAACTGAAATAGCTCAGGAGGTGGAATGTAAATGTGTTTGATTTTTATTACTGTACATAAAATTGCAATCTAACTGACAGTGAAAACCTTAAAAACCTTAATAACATAAACTATGGCACTTGTTATGTTTACAAACCCTTGTTTGGTTCTTATGTTCTACAGTACTTGCTGCCTTGCTTACTGAAATTTCTCTTTCAATTAATGAAAAAAAACTGGAGAGAAGGCCCGCAAAAGGTTAAACATACTGTAGTAAATTTGGCAGATAGTGTGACAGCTTTAGTTTAGCTCTATGCTTTGTACTCCAATAGTGCGTGCTCTTTCAACTAATGACAGAGTGCATTATACCCAAGCTACTTTATAATATAATTTAATGTGTGTGTATTACAAGCATGCAATACATATTTGTTTTCATACAAACAATCAAGTTCTGCTTGATACAATCGATAGCTGGGAGATGTTCAGACTCAGAGGTAAACTGTGACTTATTTCAATACTCTTCTGCTCCCTCACTTGGTTTTGAATTTGTTTCTATGGATTCTTGTTTTTCAACTCTATTGCAAATAACTTAAGCTGCAAGTTGGGATTGTTATAGCTAAGATATTAAAGTTTGGATCACATTTATTTGTCAATTGATTATTCATTAGGTCTGGCGATAACTTCAAATTTATGATATGTTTTTTCAGTTTTCTATATATTCAAGATGCATATGCATATGACTTAGGGCCAATATCTTCAAAATTTTCTTTCCAGAAGTAAATAAATGTTACTTATTTACAGTGTAATGAATTGATGCCTGCAGTTGTCTTAAACCTTGATTAAATGGGCAGTATGATATTCTGGTGGCTAATTATTTTGTCAAGGAAAAATAATTGTAAATTCAATTACATGTTAATGCTTTGCTTAGGGTCATTCCTTAGTGTTGCATTGTACATTTTCACTGTGTTTAATTTCACATGTAACTATAGTACATTCTTCATAAGAATGGTGCCTTTTTTCCTCCATCAGAGCCAATCAGAGAATAAATTGTCATTTTCTCACAAATGAGCTGGGAGACCTTCAGTGTAACATTATTTCTCTTTCTTGAAATTGAGAAATTATTTTCTTTCTGTCAAACAACTATAAACCAATCTTTAGTTAAGGAAAAGGAAAAAAAATCAGAAATGCCGATTTAGCAAATACTCGCAAATGCAACTGTCATGATATGAATTGGAATGATATAAATTTCTAGAAGGTACTGCTGCTCATAAAAGAGCATGGGACCTCCCTTTTTTATTTCATATTTTACTTTCCCTTAAGATCAACAGCCAAAATATTCAGTTTGACAACAATCTCAGTGCATGTTCTATGGAATGGCTCAAAGTCAATGTATTTTATTAATTACTCTGTATTGTTTCTTTTACAGAAGCTGATTGGCATTGTTATAAGTTAGAGTAGAAGAAAGTACTTTCAGGAACATTGCTGGTCCACCAACAATTAATCATGATAAACTTTTGAGGTCATTTCCTGAAGCAGTTGCAATTCAATCAGAAAGATGGGTAAGATATCTTTTCCTTTTTTTATGTTTAATTAAATCTGCTCAAAGAGATGGAGGTGGCATTGTAGCCGGGGAGACAGAATTGATACTTTTATAATAAAAATTTTGGTGGGTAAGTTTTCCTACTGGTGACAGAGATGCACTGGCAGATGATTGCTAGCATTCTGGAGTTAAGATAAAGAGGTCTGGGCTCTAGCTTTGGCTAAAGTCATTGTGTTGCAGTCTTGGGTGAAGGCCTAAAATCCTAAAAGGTGGCCTAAAAATCTCTCTGTACATTCTCAAAAGTGTCTTTAAACCTCATTTCATCCCTTAAAATCACAAAATATTTTCCTAAAGTCCTGACTTATCTCCAATTTTTTTTAGAAATAATCACATAATTTGGATAAAATGTGAGATTCCAGTGGTGAAATTGCATGGTAACAACTTCAAACTGACACGAAATGATCATTTATTCATGAGACAATCTAAGTGGTTTGTCTCCTTACAGTTGGAATGTTTCTTTCAAACAATCAATAACAACAACTGCTGATTGGTAGTATTTGTATGGAAGGAGCCTGTTTGCAAAAGCTTCAATGAACCATGCAAATTTTTTATGCTATTAGCTGTATTTGTTTTTTAACACTATCTTGACTTTTCGACTGATTAGCCAAGCTTATAAACCAAGATCTTGTAGAACTTTTCATCTGACACAGGCAAAGGTAAAATACCCCAGGGTTTCACTAGGGCATATTGAGGCTTGGAATTGATTGGTGCATTAAACTCCAAACAGAACTACGCCTTTTGAAATGGCTACATTTGATTCACATTTCTTAAGAGTATTAAGAGTAATCCTATAATAAATTCCTGTTAGAAATGGATGCAAACCCTTAAGAATTTGCAATTTGTGTTGGAGCAAATTTGTTGTTTTATAGATGAATTTTTGTTGGTTAAAGTTTAATGAATTGTCTCTGTAGCACATATTCTTAAAGTGGAGTGGGCTCACCTAGTTATCAATGGTATTTCAGGGTATGCAGATGGAACTGAAGCAAACCAAAGCTGAAAAACATTTCCAAGAGCATGGCAGCCTCTGTCGTTGACAACATTCTAAAGAGCTACCATGTTTTTAAAGATAGGCCACATTATGAAGGTAAAACAGATCATCATTAATTATTTTTTAATACACCTGGATATTATTCTCCCCAAATATTCTTCCCACCCCCACCCTCCTTTCTTCACTAACGTGAACATGTAAATGGACATTTCACATAACTGAGTTATTACAAAAAATTTAAGTTTTGGAAAACTTATATGTATAATAGCTTATGATGAAATTGGCCTGAAATTGGAAAAAAATAAAATGGAAATTGTTGATGTTGTTGTTAATGTTGTATTATTCAAAATTATTTAATGAACCTGGACAATACTTTATGTTTCGTTGGGGCAAATTCGAGTTGGGAAGAAATTTAGTCTCAGTCAGTAACGAAATCAAAACGAAGGAAGATCATTTCTGCGTTTGTAAATTTTCACTTAGTTTTCTGGTAGCGCAAAATTCATTAAAGCAACTTATCTTTGAAACGTTTCTCAGTTTTGTCGTAGCCTAGTCCACTCACTGCTTAGTTGGATTTTTACATGGTTTTCGGAGGAGTCTATTCTGGAGCGGGATTGTAGAAACACTCTTTCGGAAATCAAATAAAAATGCAGCTAAGCGGTTAAGGTCCCAAGAGAAATTACTGAGAAATATCTTCTTGAAGTCCTTGTAACACTAGGCTTTTCACAGTTGCTACATGAGATGACTTTTATGTGCTCACTGAAAATTAATTCTGCATGTGTTTAGATTTTCGAGGGAGCAAATTAATGGGTTTTGTTTTTTAACTTTTTTGAGCTGCTACAGATCCAATCCCCGACTACATACAGGCGAGGGGACCGGTGGCACTAGAAGCGTACAGGAGAGCACTGGAGACAGGCGAAACCTACGATAGACGTACCAAAATTGTGTTGATTGGTCAGGACCGTGTGGGCAAAACAAGTCTGAGAAGGTACCTCAGAGGTGAAGCATTTGATAAAGATGAAGCCAGCACTAATGGGATTGAAATGATTTCCCCTGTCAAGAACGCAGGAAAAGGGGCATGGAGGAATCCAGAACTGCTTGAAGACACAAGTGCACTTGACCACAAGTGCGCAGAAGTGGTCGCACAGGAGTTACTCTGCAGCTTTAGAGAACGATCAGATGGGGCTCAACAGTTAACTGGAGAAGGTAAGAAGACGAGAGGCTCAGAAATAGGTGATGTTCTGGATGAAAAGAAAATAAAACAAATGCTTAGGTAGAATACAATTAAAAAACAATAGGGAAATGCGAAACAAAAAGGAAGACGGAAAAAAAGATATTGCTAGCGCCTGGAGTCGATCCCTCGACCTTTCACGTGTAGGGATAAGCACTTTCCATGGCGCCAGTTTTGTAACGTCAACATGTCATTTTGAATGCGTTAAGCTCGTAAGGTTTCTGCCCATGCACTCGCGTGAAACCATGCGATATTTAAAGGCTTTTTTTTGGCACTGGTCGCTGAAGGAGTGAACGAGTGTTTATTTCGAGTGAGGCGAAGCTTTTGTATATTTTTAGTTCTTATATACAAAATAAAAATTCAGTCACTAATGTTAGCATTACTATTGCTTTGAACAACCGGTCCTGAATCATACTAAGCTTACCTGGTATTCTTCTGTATGTTGTTTGCACTTGAACAGCGTGTTTAAGAAACGTAATAACTGATTAAAAAATGTCAATATTAGTTTTCCAGGAAGTCGAAAGTGAGCAAAAACCAGAAGAAGTACCCACGAAAGTCCTTTCCCTCGTAGAGCGTGGCCTCAAGAGAAACGACACCTCGGACAATGAGGATATATGGCCTTTTGTTTGGGATTTCGCCGGCCAGGCAGTATACCATGCCATTCAACCAATTTTTCTATCGCAAGAAGCCATATATGTCTTAGTGTCAGATCTTACTATGGAGCTAAGTGCTCCTGCCCAATGTCGGATAAGACCGCCTAATCACGATGAAATAGTGGTAGACTCGCCTTACGTCGAGGACACTAATCTCGATCACATGATGAGATGGCTGGACTTGGTGCACTCTTTGGGACAGCCAGAGCTTCAAAGAAAGTCGGCAGATACTAACCAAGTTTTGCCTCCAGTGGTGCTCGTGGGTACACATGCTGATGGTGTAAAGGATCCTTGTAAGGAAATGGAATCTGTGAAGGAAATCATTTGCAGCATGGCTCATCCAGCAACCTTAGACCATATTTCAAAAGAATCATTCTTCATAGATAACACAAATCCAAACAGAGAAGACGACCCACAGATCGTTTCTTTGCGTGCAGAATTATTGAATCTGGCTAGAAAAATGCCACATATCAACAAGGTAATCCCTATGCAGTGGCTCCGTGTGGAACAAAAGGTCGACGAAATGGTGAAAAAAGGGATACTTTATGTTGGTAAAAAGCGTTTTGCAGAGGACATTTCTAGAGGCATTTGCCAGTTTAATGACACAGATGACGTCGAAGAATTGCTACACTTTTTACAAGCTCGTGGAAGAGTTATCTACCAAGATCTCCCTAAAAATCCAGATGGTTTGGTCGTGCTCGATCCGCAGTGGTTAATTAAAATACTATGTGAGATAATTACGGTGAGTCCACCATGGAAAAACCACCCTGTCATTCAGAAAGATTACCAAGCCCTTGGAAAAAAGGGATTACTTTCGCAGAAGTTGCTACATCGAGCGTTTGAACACCTTGAACTGAATGATATAAAGGATTCACTGATTCGTATCATGGAAAGCTTTGATGTTATATGCAACTCTAAGAACTGCAAGGGGAAAGATTACCCTTATTTTGTTCCTTGTATGTTGAAATCACCAATGAAGAATACGAGAGGCACAAACATGCGCAGTGGCCCTTTGCCCGTATTTCTCACATTTAACACCAACTACGTTCCAATTGGGCTGTTTTGCAGACTGGTTGTACATTTTTGGGAATGGGCCTCACAATTATGCCGTGACCCCCGTATGGCCCCTTCGTTGTTTTCAAACGCCGCCCGATTCAATGTCAGTGAAGTGTACCAGCTCACTCTAGAGTGTCACAAAACTGTGATCAAGTTGATAATCTGGACACAGCGAGACTCAGATGGAATGGAAGAGAAAAGAATTTGCGAAGAATTATTGAAGTAAGCCACAAACATATCGGGCATTATTTCGTTTCATTTAAACCTAATAATTACTGTTAAAGAAATATTAAATGGAATACCATAACCGAAAAAAATGATGAAATACTATCACATTGCTGTAAATAAAGGGAAACTTAAAGGCCCTCTTTAATTTTCTTGACTTTTTCAATCGTTCTGATCCCTGTGACAGGTTTTTTTTTTCCAGATTTAGGACCTTTTTGGGTGCTAATTTTTTTATTAGGTAAGATGCATTCAGTTAATTGGACGTTACAATGAGTCACGCTTGCGTTAATGGCGTTGTTGATATCCTTGTTGCTATGTTTGTTCATTGCAGTCATCTGGAGGGTTGCGGGACTAAGCTAAGCGTCACCTGTCCGTGGTTACGATCATCTACGATGGAATTGTATGTGAAATGCCAGTTGTGTGAGCCTTGTCCAGATAAGTGTCGTGACGTAACCAATATTTGCATATTGCACAAAGAGAAAGGCTGCTCTCATTTTGACTGTGGCCATTACATTCCGTTAGGCAGCTCTGGTCTGAGTTGTGAACACTCCGTTGATGCTGTTCCCGACTATCCAAGAGAAAAACTGGATCCTTGGGTTCAGGTTAGAAAAAAAACTTAGTTCAATCTACGTGCAATGAATCAGGATAATTTGAATTTCACTGTTGGCAGATAGCTTTGTCGCGCGCAACACTTTCGTAGGATATTCGATTCCCATCAAAACCTGAATTTTTCCAGGCTTTATCTTTTACAAATACTTCAAAATTTCTTTTATCTGCAATGCTCTTTCTCATATTAGGGATAAGAGACATTTGAAATTATCTTCCTTTTGCTAAACACAGAATTCGCCGTATGTTTTAGGCAGTTTATCTTAAATGATGTCAGGGTTTATAAGAAATACTTATACTCCCTTTTATTACTATTATCGCGTTTTCTTAATATCAAGTGTCAGAATCAGCTATCCGTGAGCTGCAGCACCTTGGGTGACTTTATGTGAGGAAGCTTTTGTATACGTTTTGAAGTATTTGTAGTTTATTGTTTTCCCAGGTTCGCTACTTTTGAATTTCAGCTACAATGGTTCTTTCATTTCCAAATGTGTAGGCCTCAAAAGAGGGATAGGAAGATCCCTTTACGGTGCACGACGTCCATTTCCATATCTGATAATTATTACATACTGTTTTTTCATCCATTCGCCTTAATAAACTTGTATCCAAAAACTTACTCCTCATGAGATCACATGAGAGGTAGTCAGTTGGGTTATTAGGGTATACGTTATGAATTATTTTTATTCGTATATTTAGCTATCAATTTATTCTATTAACTTCTTATTGTAAGCGTAAAGTTGCCACTATTTCCTTCTGCTTTTTAGGCTTTGAAATCCATTGAACGTAAGAAACTAACTGGTAAGTTTTTTCATCAGAAATGATGGGTCACGTGTAAAATGAAATGGCCCTTAACGACGGAAAAACCTGAAACCTTTTTAGCGGATAAGGAGAATCGTCAAGGATATATACAAGCTTATCTATTGACCGAAAAATATGTTCTAATTAGTTTCCCTTAACATTTGTTAAGAATGAGATACAAGTGTGTAAGTGCCACAAGAGCCCTTGCAAATTTTCAATTTTGGTGAATGTCTTTTATTTTACCCAAGTTGTTTATTGTATGGAAACGATTTTTTTCAAACTTTTCGCTCGATGGCAAACAAGAGATATGTCACCAAATCCGTTTACGTGGCGATAATGATCTTTTTCTTCCTAACAGAAAAAAGAGAACAAGAGATCATCCGTTTGCGTATGTGGACGTGCATATTTCGTGTAAAATGATGCACGGGAGGGATGCATAATGCAATGGCACGAACTGTCCTTGAAACAAATTCCACAGGAGACGTTTTATTAGGAAAGGAAAAGCTCCTTTGCTACAATGAATCTTTTGGCTCAAAAAATCTGATCTAATGATTGTTTTTTACATTTGTTGTCATACAGGTGGCCGCAATGAAGAGTCATCTCCGAGTGACGCAGGTAAAATTAGAACAGATCTATAGGCGTGCCTGTCAACTCCCACCTCCCACCCCATCTTCCCGCCCCCTGCCTTTGTCAAATAAAAATGCGTGGATCCAGCAAAATGGCATGAATAGTTGCGATACGTTCTACACGCTATCCCCTCATCTTGATGCTTTTCTGTGATGTCTTTATGTTTTTAGTCAAGCAAGGAGTTCCCAGTGACGAAGATTTAGAGTGGCTTTCGCACAAACTCGAAAATTGGGAGGAACTCGGGCGTCGTCTCGGAATTGACGATGCAACATTAACAGCGTTTGATGAAGACTATAAGAAAAAGCGTCCAAGAATCTACAAAATGTTACTACATTGGAAACAGAAGAATGGCTCAGCTGCAACGTACACGGTCTTACGTGATGCATTGTGTCATGAATTTGTTAATCGCACAGATTTAGCTGAGAAACTTTGCTATCAACAACATGAATGACTGTTTACTTCGTTGACTCATAGATAGCTTTTATTTCTATTTTTACTGATTATTCCACTGTCAAATGAACATGTATTCCCAATATGGCTACACTATTACAATGTGAAGTACTGAATCAATAATCTACCTTTTTCTCGTTGGATCGTTTTTCTTTCTATATTTTGAATGAAAAGCGTCGTGATAAAGTATATTGCTAGTTATAACCCACCCATCACTTTTCGCGCGACTCTATTGGCTACTTTATGACACGTGGTGCATCGGGTAGTTTTAACAAAATAACCACCATTTACGTTCATATTTGTCCCCCGATTATTTCCTTCGAAAAGAGATAAAGTCAGTGGAAAAAAAGCCGGTTTAGAGTTTCACTTTTTTATCTTCATTACTAAACATTTTGTGGAGTTCACTGGTAGTGATATTAAAAAGCTGATCTTAAATGCTGGTCCAACGTGCGATACGAAAATTAATGGGAGGGTTATGAATTAAATAAACTCACTTCTGGTATGCTGGTATTTCGGGTGATAATTTCCTTGAGAGAGAGATTGTCTTGAAATTTTTACCGTTCAGCCTCGAAGCATCGCTTATCAACCAAAAACTCTATTTTCGGATATTAGCTTAGTCGCAGACATAATCGGCCGAAATACTAGTCGCCAGAAGAGGTTTACGTACCAAACATTCGCTGAGATGCTCTATCAATACCAGTGCAGTGTTGTCGAAGGCATACGGCATGTTACGCATTTGCATCAGAAGTGATATCTATACGTACTGCTCATGCATTCTTCCTTCAATTGTTTGACAGAGAGGTTTGATGTGAATCCGAAATTCAGCGTGTCAAGAATCTCACGCCGATAACACTGATGTATGTCATGTTTTGTAGGTAATACTGAGGTTCTACGATAAAAGTGAATTTTTGTTGGTTTCTGTTAGTACATTAGCTAATATGTAAAAGTAATCACATGATTTCGAGTGTAATTTGGAATATATAAGCACGAGGAAATTTTTTCAAAGACTAACAAAATTGCATTGAATTACCTGAAAACTGTATTTATCTTAACCAATCAGAACTGAGTTATTTTTTCACGTATCTTATTAATCGATCAAGAAATTGAGAAAAATGTCGAGTTGAGTCACTTTTTGTCAAAGAATTTGTGTAATCTCGAGGAAAAGACTCCGTAAATGACTAGGCAACAAAAGGTTCCCTTACACTCGATTATGCTTGGCAAAAGGCAAAGTTCTTGAAACAGTCAGCTTGCCTGATAATGATATGCATTTGATATTGGAAGTTCATCTTTGGTTCATTGCCTACGATAATATACGGTGTAGAATATTAGTCAACGAAACTTTTCCGTAAAAATAAATAAAAGGTTTGAAAGAACTAACGGCCTATAAAATGATTCTATAGCAAGGGAAAAAATGTTTTGTAAAAACAAACGGTAGAGGTTTATAATTTCATCTTGGATTGCTTACTGCTTTTTAGCTGGACGAAAACAAAATATCAATTTGCCATTATTTTTTTTGTGTGTGTCTTTTGTCCTTTGGAAAAGTCTGAGAATTCTCGGTTTTCGATTGAGTAGTTTGGTTGGAGCCCAATCGTTGAGCAATTATGCTGTTTTTCCGGAATAGTTGTTGTGGGTAAAATTTCTTTCTACCAAATAGTGAGAAGTAAAATCTTTATAAAGCGAACAGCTGGAGCGGCAGTTATTGTCTATTCATAACAAAAAAGTTGCACCTCAAATTTATTTTTTGGCATGAAATTGTGACCGACAGCTAAATAAAAAAAAAAATTTTTCGGAGCTTTCAATATCTTTGATGGTTTATAGTACTGAATATCACTTTTTTCAATCGAATGTTGCAGACCTGACGCATTTAGGAAGCTATACAGGAAACCAATTCTCTGTTATGAAGCCGCGGTTCTATAATGATAAAAATAAGTCTCGATAAATCCACAGAATTTTCTCATTGAAAACTGAGATACTTGCTAAGATGAAGTTTACACGATGGTACATGTCTGTTAACGTTGTAGGCGGGTAAGTATCGTTAAGTGTCGTCACTCTTTCACATCAGGAGCCTTGACAAAAATTCTGACTTTAACTTGAGTTTGAGTTCCTAGACTAAAGACCTTCGCTTCCCATTCTTCTACAATAGCACGGACATTTACCATAAGAAACTTTCAATGAAACTTATTTTCATGATATGGAACTTGACAGAAAAATCAGAGTGAATGAAAGAAAGCGAATGCAAGGCCATCGTAAAATTTGAGATTTATTATGTCTAAAGACTTTTTCAATCTACTTATGCCGTATCTACTGTGTTCTGCAGCCTAAACTTTAAATATAACAAACTGATATTTCTTAGACATAAGCAACATTATTTCGGCAACTGCATGCAGGTTAAGGTCCACAGTCGGTAACATCATAAAAGGAAGGGGAGGCGTCCTTATGGAACTAAAGTTTTTTCAATTTTATTTTCTCCAATTGTTAGTTAACAGGAATACATACGTTGTTGAAAATAACGGAATGGAAAAAAAAAGTATGCGAACATTATTTCAAGCCGAATCTCTTGAATTTTATCGAAAAGGTCTGCCTTATCTCAATAGCTGCTAGATGCTCCTGGCACATTCAAACGTTTGATCACGACTTCGCACGTGTAAGGGTTCAGTGTCACTGCCATTGTCTCATCCGTTTCTTCGGGATTTGTTTCCTCTGACAAGGACAAGGCTTCCTTTGCTTTAATAAGAGGAAAAATTTGATCAAATCTTAATGGAAAAAATGAGAGAATTAAGATGAATTGAATATGATGCATCAGGTTTAAACCTCGTTTGTTTTCGATTGTAATTTCCTCGCAAGACATTTCAGTTGTTAAGTTTTCGATCATACCTTCTCTATTAAAGTTGGTTAGATCTTTATTATATCTTACTGGACAACTGAACCACCCAGTTATTTAAGTAGCACTGAAGCACATTGCCGAGCGCACTCAATGTTTTACCTAACCCTTTAACTCCGAAGATCTCGTTAGTAATTCTCTTTAATGTCTGACATACAATTCTTATAATGTCAGTTTGGAGAATTTGGTATTGAATCAACTAATAATCCCCTAATTGATATTTTCCTTTATTCTCATCACTTCTATGCTCGATATTGTATTGATGTTGTAAGGAGAAATTCTCGCTTGGTCAATCATGGGAGGAAAAGGGTTAAAGCCTTAAAACACGGGAAAACAGTGGTACATGTGATACATTCAATAACTCCTTTATTTCTGATACTATCTAGGGTGTATTTTTTTTGTTGAGACAAACTCCTTGTTACAATGTCTCAAAGGACAAAATCTGATCGTTGTTTAGACTTAAGTTTCTGCCAATCATTTCATCACTTCAGTTCTCCGTGATTAAAAAAGCGCAGCTACAAATCTGGATTAAAAAGGCTACCGTAGAGATCACCAGAGAACATAACGTTGCAATTTTGGGCACGAAAGTTTATTTGTATTACGACTTTCTCCAAGCAAAGTTGTGAGTGGGAACCTGCGAAACCTGTTTGGGAATAAACCAACATCTGGGGAAGGTAACTCCCAAAACAGTTAGAAGTTGCTGATGCTTATGCCTAACACCCCTACAATCACATGTGTAAATGATAGGTTTGCAACTATAAAATTCTCCCCTTTGGAGCATACACCAACAGCATTGTTAAAGAAGTACTCATGATCAGGCACATGGATAAAATGGCATAGACGGCGTCATAATACTCAGATCCTTTCAATGCCAGCGACGCAACGGAATCGATGATGGACATTCAGGGCAGCCATAGTGATATTGCGTGATAGTTTGTCTCTCTTTGCTACTTTCGCCTTATCATTAGACGTTTCTCATTTAAATATCCATAATTTATGCACAAAAGAGAAAGAAAATGAATAAAAAAAAAAAAACAATCGTGAAGATATGCATTATTGAGATTTGTCGCAGAAGAGCGCATTTGGAACAGCCATTGTCTGGTGACCCATAGTTATTTGTATTCCTTAACTAGGGTTCAACAAAACACAGTTTTATTCCCTTTTAAATTCACGAGTTGGCTCACCGAAGCCCTTTCATCATAAGTGTTATTCAGTCAGAGGAATAGACTGAGAATAGGAAACAAACAAAGAATGTATGTTTCAGCTGTGACAAAATTGGTTTATTGGGATGCATCAAGAAAGATCAGTGTTAGGCTGTATACCTTTGTTGCATCGTATTTTATTTGTTTTCGGTCGCGCAATACGTCCTGGCTGTCAAGTCACAAGTCTGGTACACCGAAAAAACCGTAAAACTCTACAAACTCGAGTTCTTTCTGTGTGCCCTGATGAAACATTTCCAAAATATCGAAAGAAACTTTACTTTTACAAGGAAACGTACAGGCAACGAAGAGCGGAATGAAACACATGAGGAGTGTCACGAAGTGTCACTGTCGCAGAAGTAGCTCTGCGACAAGGGCTCATTCATCTGAGACCTGATTAATTATTAATACGTTTCCCAGAAACATTTGCATGTCTTTTACCAAGTATGTTGAAGTTGTTGAAAATTCCGCCATTATGAATATGCTATCAGCGAAAGTCACTGTATAATCAATTGATAGCGATAGTTACATGTACATTATCTTGATCAGAAACGTTTACAGCGGAGGTTTCAAGGTAAGAATAGTCTGTAGTTGCTATATCGTAAATTTTGTTCACAAACGCGATCGTTTTTCTTAGCCTACGCCAGATCAAAAGATTTGTGTTAACACGCATGATCAGTCTCTTAACAGTATTGATATCGAAATTAAATGATATTCACTAACAAATAGAGAAGCCTTGGCTACTCTCTGTTCTGTTGTAAGGCACGCACGAAGAGGATAGAGCGCGAAAGATGTGTAGGAAGAAACACGATTGTGTTTCTCCCTTATTCTTGAGTCGAATTTGGCCGAAGCGGAAAAATCTTCAGATGCATTGGCAACTGAACAAAATTTGTCCCGGGTAAAAATTAGACAAAATCGACTAATAAACAAACCGCGACTAACAATTTAACAGATGGCGTAACAGCTTTAGCTCAGCTCTATGCTTTGTACTCTGATAGAGCATTCTCTTTCAACCTCTGGCAGCGAGCATTATAACCGAACTTTATCATAATAAAATTTAACATGTACGTATCACAAGCGCACATTTTTCAGCCTGCATACTTGTTTTCATCCAAACAATCGAGTTCCACTCGATTCGATCGATAGCTGGGTGATGTTCAGACTCAGAGATAAACTGTGACTTATTGTCATACTCTTCTTCTCATTCTCTTGATTTTGAAATTGTTTCTTTGGATTTTCGTTGGTCAACTGTAATGCAAATAGGTTAAGCCACAATTTGCGATTGTTAAAACGAAGATATTGAAGTTTGGGTCACGTTTATTCGTCGATTGATTGTTCGTTAGGTCTGGCGATAG